GGCTTATCATCCTACCATATCAAAAAAGCAGTGCAGGAGTAGCCTTCATTTCTAGATAATATTGTCTATAATGCATTTATGAAGCATATTTTGAATATTTTATCTGGACCCTAGTTGTCATCACATTTATTTGTTACTTTCAAGGGCATCGTTTCTCAGTTTAGGATTTAAAAAGAACACAACTATCAGTCTATCACCACTTAAGAACCACATTTGTTTTGGCTAGTGGAACTACCAGAAACATAAATGGAGCTTGTGAGATCCTAATAACAAATGTCAGGCTGATGATGATGCCGACAATTGACACACAAATCTTGTTTTTTTTTGCTGCAGATGCTTGCTAGGTTTGCAACTAGGGCTTCATTTAGTGCAGATAGCCGAGGCGGGGGGAAGGAAAGTAATGCACGTTTTTTGCCCTTCATGATACAAATGGCACGTCACCTTCTTGAGTATGACTCTACACAGCAGCGGCATACAATGGCGAAGTCCATCTCAACTTATCTCGCCCCATCCTCAGAACCCAAAAACACAAGTGCTGCTGCCGCCGCCGCCGCTGGAACAGAAGAAACGGTCCAGTTCATGATGGTTAGCTCCCTTCTGGTGGAATCATATGAGTCATGGTTGGATCACCGTTTTGGGTTCTTGCAGCGGGGAATATCCCACGCGTACATGCAGCACACTCATGGCCGGCGCCCGAACCCCTTGGGCCCAGCAGGAGGAAACAGTACAACAGTAACAACAACTAGCGACGAATCAGGCGGTGACTTGTTGTCTATAATACAACCGATGCTCGTGTACACGGGTTTGATCGAACAACTCCAGCGCTTCTTCAAGGTAGCGACAGTGACAAAGAAAGCAGTCACAGAGAGTTCATCTGGATCCAAGGAGGAAGGAGTGGAGGGACTGGAAGGTTGGGAAGTGATTATGAAAGAGAGAACTTTGAATGTGAAGGAGATGGTTGGGTTCTCCAAGGAGTTGCTTTCTTGGCTGGACGACATGCTTTCGGCGTCAGATCTGCAGGAGGCTTTTGACGTCCTCGGAGTTTTGAGCGACGTGCTCTCTGGCGGCAGGGGCGGCGGCCGTGGCTTTGCTTCATGTGAGGATTTTGTTCGTGCTGCAATTGATGCTAAAACCCCATGAAAAAAAATATTTCCCGTTGTTTTTGTGTACTCATTGTAATGTAATGAGCCTTGTACTGTAACTATAAATGTATGATCAATCAGATACTTCTTAGAGTTCTTTCACATCAGATTATAATAATAATATGTTTTGATCCGAAAGAAGTTGTACGTTTTCTCGATATTTGTATATGAAGAATAAGAAGAAAAAATAAAGGAAAAAAAGGAATCTTCTCTTTATTAATAATTGCATGTTTTGTGTACGCAATATGGAAGCCACAAAACATGGGAAGTTGAAAACAACAAACATGTTTATGTATGTTGTTCATATTGGGTTTTGAAATTAACAAACATCTTTTGTGTACGCGATATGTTGTTCATATTATTAAAAAAAAGAAAAGAAAAAAAAACTGTTGTTTGAAAACATAATCCAAACTCCAAAGAGAAAAGAGAAGATGAAGACTAGGACGTGCCACCCAAAGTGCTGACATGAAGTCAATTGGAGCAAATAAACGTCTACTACGAGTCTTGTTACTTCCTATTTACCCCCTCCGTCGCAATTTATATTGTCTGTTTCGGTTTATGATCTTTGATTAAAATTATTTTCAAATCATTTTATATGAAAAATGGTGTAGAACTAAAAAAAAGATGTTTCCCTTTCATTTTTTGTGGTCCTCAAAAGATGTTTCATTATCTATTAAAAAACCATTTTTATCCATTACTTTTTCATATCCTACCTATCACATCATACCTTTTTACTAATAATCTACGCATCACATCTTACTTTTATCTATTACATCAAGAGTATTTTTGGAAAGTCAACACAAAAATATTCTTCCCTTAAATCCTCAAAAAATCAATAAGGGAAGATGATTCAGGGACGGAGAAAATATTAAAATACTACATCAAAACATCTATAAAACTAGTGGTGAAATGACTATTTTCAATCCCTCAGACTCATAACTTTGCCTTTTGTAGGATTAGCTTTGCTATCCAAAAAAGATGTTGGAGAGTAGCTTATTGCCACTTTACCTATCACTTTTCTGTAATGGGTTGATTTGGTAAAGAAATCCAACATCATAACACACACAAAAATCAATGTGATTGGTGTAAATTTGGGAGGGGGGAGTACACATCTTTGTGCAAGCCCTAATATTGTTAAATTATGTCGTCATGATAACCCCAACTATGACTTCAAGCTTTGCACCGACTACAAAGACCTTGTAGTCGGTGCCACACACAATAGCAATTTGTGTGGTATGTGCAAAGTTTGGGGTCATATATAATTGGGGTTCCCCTAGCTTTAATAGCTTTAATGTAGTAGTGTTATGTGTAACATAAACAACCTCTTTAATTTTTTTCCTAGCTACACTATAAATTATTTTACTCCGTACTTTAAACTACGTACACCAACTCTACTACTTAATTAATTATAAATAAATAAGTAAATTTAAAGAAAAAAAAAGGCAAGGTGAAAGAAATGGGAGACAGACATGGAAATAATGTCAAATTGCGTCATAAAGCTATTTTAAAATTTTTCCAAAACTTGACCCTTACCTACGCTCCCTGCACTTTGTCACAAATTGCCTCATCTCTACGTACGTACTACATGCATGCATGCATGATCCATCATATATCATGCATCCATCCATCCAGCACCGACCTTTTATATATAAACATTGGGCATGCATTATTTTTGTTTAATTTATTCTCATTTCTTTTTTCTTTCAGTAATAATATTTTAATTTATTTTTTTTTTTACCACCTCGATCATCATCAGCTAGTATAGCTAGCTATTATATATGCAGAATGGGTTTGTGGAATAATTAATTAATATATCTTGAATAAGGATTGCTTCGTTAATTAGGAGGGGAGGGCAAAATGGGAAAGAAGAAGAATAGCAGCAGTAGTAGTGGGGGGAGGAAGATGAAGAAATGGATGAAGAGGGGGGGTATCACAGTATTGTTACTGTGGACTTGCATTGCCCAGTTTCTAGCCATTGGAGATGTTTGGGGGTCTTATAACAATAATAGTAAAGGTAAAAATGACCATAAGCACCTCCTCCTCCTCAACATTGCCTGGCCTTCTTCTCCATGGATGAAGAACAACACTACTACTCCTTCCAATTCTCCTCCTCATCATCTTCATCTTCTCCAACCACCAAATGCCACAAAGGGTAAGCCACACTCGGTACATCTGCACATTTACAAGTTTCAAAAGATTTATTTTTACGCATTATATTTATTTCTCTACATATAGTTAGAAGGTACACATTATGAAATTTTATGTGTACACTTTTAATTAACTATTGCACAACATAATGCTCGTCTAGTTGATAGAAGAATTTTTCTGATCTTTTTGTCACTTATAATACTTTATTTTAGTGAAAAGAAAAAAAAACGAAATTTTACAAATGGAATTGTAAAAAAACACACATTTATTTATTGTTCGCACATACACAAAATATGCACTTTATAACATCAGTAGCTAGATCTACATGTATGGTATATAATTTTATACATAGACCATCTAATGGAAATTGATCTGACCTACTCCTTCCATTTTTTAAAACACTTCTACATAAAATGTTTAAAATACCCCTAGACAACTGTTACCCATAATAAAATGAGGTTTATTCACTTTGTTGGCCTATAAAGTTTGACCCTGTCAATAGTGAATGAGAAGTTTATTTATGGACGGAGGAAGTATATTTTAAAAATTCTATTGGTCAATCCGAGCCTAAACACATAGAGTCACTAGATCATGTGCAAGTAATTTCTAACCAGAACTCAAAGTGGTGTTGAGTATTCCAAACCCGACCTGACCAATTGTTTATCTAATCTACCATTGTCTGTCCTTACTAACAAACACTTTTTAATACACTGTCAAACTTTCTGCGACATGTCGGTGAATGCCTCCACAAACATCGCACACACAACCAAATGTGCACCCACCACCAAAATGGGGTACAATATTTTCTAGTTTTATTATAACCGGAGCGAGAAATTTAATTTGTAAATTCTTGTTGTGCCTGCAGGGGAGGTGGTGTACGAGAACAATGGCTACCTTATGCTTTCTTGTAATGGCGGGCTTAATCAAATGCGAGCTGCAGTACGTAGGTTCATCTCGATTTAGTTTGTACTTTACTATTGGCAATATAAACTATATGCATAAATGCACTCTCTAAATCCGATCAAAGGGAGTACATGAACAGCCGAGTGATCAATCAAAAAGTTGATCATGTTGTCATCACCGACTTTTGTGCAGATTTGTGACATGGTCGCGGTCGCGCGACACTTGAATGTCACTCTTATTGTCCCTGAACTCGACAAAACTTCTTTCTGGTCTGATCCAAGGTGCAATATAATTTTCAAAGTCTAACCTGTTAGGAGTGACAGCTTCTTAAATCTGCCTTCGATTGAAACATTTCATGCAATATGAGAACATCATGAGTAGTTTTTCTTTCTGGCATGCTGCAGTGATTTTGAAGACATATTTGATGTTGATCATTTCATTGAAACATTGAGGGATGAGGTTCGTGTGCAAAAAGAGCTCCCACCCAGACTAGAGCATAGGCTTGAGATGATGTATGAATTATCACCTGTGAGCTGGTCAAACCTTTCATACTACCATGACCAGGTAGGTATATATACAAGTAATCTGTTGGAGAATTAAAAATATATGAATTATCTCACAGATTAATATCAAGGGTAAATTTATTTTAACACCTAGTGGTTGAAATATATGTAAAACAGATTCTTCCTCTGATAAAAAAGCACAAAGTCGTGCGCTTCAATAGAACGGATTCGCGTCTGGCCAACAATGGATTGCCTCTAAGGATTCAAAGATTACGTTGCAAAGTGAATTTTAGTGCTTTGAGGTTCTCTTCTCATATTGAAGAATGTGCTCACAAAGTCATCCAGATTTTGAGGCAAAATGGGCCTTATTTGGCACTCCATCTCAGATATGAAATGGATATGTTGGCCTTTTCCGGGTGCACCCATGGATGCACCCGTGAAGAGGCTGATGAACTCACAGCAATGAGGTAACAACTAACTATGCCTTCTGCTTCTTCCAAAACTCTAAAGCTACTAAAAACCAGCACTACCTATGTCTTGTCTCTAGGTATTCTACTCACAGGTGGAAGGAGAAAATCATAAATTCTGAAGTGAAGAGGAAAAGAGGTTCGTGTCCATTAACGCCCGAAGAAACTGCTCTGACACTAAAAGCTTTGGGAATCAGTCGCAGTTTACAGATATACATAGCTGCTGGAGAAATATATGGTGGCCACAGAAGACTGCAGAATTTGTCTGCAGCATTTCCAAATATGGTAACAACAATAATCTATGTACAGCTATAAATGTCATATATATATGAAGTATAAGAAACTAAATCATACTTGACTTTTGAAGGGGAAAGAAACAGATTTAAAGGTTTGGGGCATTGTTGTTTTATCTCGTGAACTTACAGGTGAGGAAGGAGACACTGCTTGGACCTTCAGAACTGAGGCGTTTCAAGGGACATCAATCACAGCTGGCAGCTTTAGATTATCTTGTCTCTCTAGAGAGTGATATCTTTGTTCCAACATATGCTGGAAACATGGCCAGGGTGGTTGAAGGCCACCGCAGGTAGCCATAGCCACACACTGCTTTCTCTAAATTTAACCATTTTGCATTCTGTTCAATGTGATTATACTCAGCAATAAGCCAATAACAACATACCTAGTAAAAGCCCACGAGTTAATTCTCAAGAAAGTATGTGCGCGCAGACCTTACTTACCCCTGCCTAGAAAAGATAGAGAGACCGTTTAGAAAAAAAATGTCTCATGCTAAGTGCTAATACTGTACTCAGAGATGTACTTTTATTTTCCATACCTATTCAAACATTGTTTTATCTTTGCAGGTATTTAGGTTTCAGGAAGACCATTCTACTAGACAGGAAAGTTATAATTCGCTTAACAGACCAATACATTGCTGGCAATATAACCTGGGAAAGATTCTCAAGTGTCTTGAAGAAGACTCACAGAAACAGGACGGGGAAACCCGGGCCACGGTCTGTAATTCCTGGGAAACCAAAGAAAGAGGACAACTTTTATGCCAATCCAGTAGAGTGTTTGAAGATTCCTGATTCGCATCTAATTCATGACTGAATAGGCTTCCCTTGTAGAAATCTTGTGTGTGCGGGTGTATAGGCAATCCAGTTCATTATACATATACAATTATCCATTGTTGTTTTTAGCTGTAACTGCTTATCATTATTCATTAAAACAAGTGAACGCATATTTTTTCTCTTTGCTTATAAAGAGAGCTTTTATCTTTTTCATCCTTGCAAATACATGATTTTGCGTTCAGAGTACAGTAAAATTAGTAGCTTTATTCATCCTGTAATCTACGGAGTACGTTTTTTTTTCCTTTCTAGATCCTCTCCATCAACCTCTTCTCAAAAATCCTTGCATGGATCACATAGTCTTGGTTACTCATGTCATTTTAAAAAATACTTGATATTTTACAACGTATTTCCGGAAATAGAGAGACATAAATTGGAAGTTGAAATGGTGAATTGAATTTACCTCTAACTCCACTAAGAGTCACATGCATAGAGTTGACGTGAGAATGCAAGAATGTTCCATGAACCCTATCGGTTTCTTTAGAGAAGCATGGCAGGACTAAGACTAAAAAGAGAAAAGACTTTAAAAAAGTACAAGAATTTCTTTACAGAAGCCTAAAAAATGCTATCTTTGCAAGGACTAAAAATACAATTAAGTCAATAAGAATAATCTGTTATGGGGAATCATAAGGGAATAAACAGCCTCAAGAAATTGAAATGCAGCTTCTCATATTTAAGCAGAAATCCATTCTTTGTACATAGAATATTTATAGACGGAGTCTACCGACCTCTGCTTTAGAACTTTGCATGCTCGACACATTAAAAAACATGTACAATGACTACCTCAACTGTCTACCACTCTACCACTACCTGTAAAATATTTGAGAGAGATGATTGTGTGGGGGGGTGGGGGTGGGCTCTTATGAGGAGAAGGACCAGAACTTGTTACTTCTGTTATCTTCTAATCTTTTTATGGCCATGGTCATATTTATCGCAACTATTTGATGTGGAAATGGCAGTTCTGCACTTTGTCTGTTGGACAATATCAAGTTCAACTGAAACATTGGCCTGTGACATATCCACTCCCATAGATACCAAGGACTGGTTTAGAGTATTCAGCACCCTAGTTAGAAAAACAATGTCATATAATTGAAAATACCAATAAAAACAATAAAATATAAATCAAGGGTATCCCAAATCAGTTGCCAGTTAATATAGAAAACCAAATTAGAGATGGTATCAAAGCCTGGGTGATGATTCAGGGCAGCCCATTCAGGGTGAGTTTAGGGAAATAACTTAACACATCAGTTGGGCCCATTAGTTCTCTGCTTCTATTATCCAACCCGTTTAAACCGAGGGAATGTGTTGAGTGATTTATACCTGTTGTCTGCTGGATTTGACTTTAATAAGTATGTGTGAGGTAAAACTCACCTCTTAAATATCATTTAGAGATGAGTAAGGCTTAATTTAACATGATATGAAATTCTAGTTTGATGGTGGTTTGTTGGGTGCCTGCCCTTTTGATGATCTAGAGCAGCCCATTTGTGGTCTGTTAGGACAAATTTGACCACCCTTCCAATGTCAACAATTTAACCCGTTTGGGAGAGGGGATGTGTGTTGATTATCCCGCATCAGCTATCTACTTGGTATGAATCTAATATACAAGTGTGAGGTGAATCTTACTTTTTAAGGATTGGTGCAAGTAATGTCTGATTGGTGTCATGTTAATAACCACCAGCAATATTAAAAAAAAAAATCTCACCTCTGAGAGTACTCATTAGGACATCTGTCCTCCCATTCATTTTTCTGCTCTTCTATGTCATTCTGATCAGCAATCTGTATTTCATTATTTTCATGTTGTTTGCCATGCCAATCAAACCACTTTGCCTGAGAACCCAACTGCTCGGTGTAGGAACAAGATCCATGAGAAGGTCGGATAGATACACCATCGAACAAACTTGGCTGCAGAACCAAGTTGAAGGGGAGGACTTCATTACTTACTGTGTGGTGTTCATCCATTGTTTTGAAGACGGGTTCTCCATTCAAACTCGATTCTAAAGACTCATGTGCATTAGAGAGAAATATCGAGTCCACGCCAGCATTGTCTTCATGAGAAGAACCATTTCTGATCAGCTGAGACTGTTCTGTGAAGATTTGGGGAGGGCCAGAAGCTCTTCTCTGTTGGCAATAAGATGAGATGTTGATGTGATCTTTGCTTCAGAAAAAAGAAATACTTCAACTACCACAGAGGATGCTTAATCTACCTTCTATACATGACTCAACTCATATTTCCCTTAAAATTGAAAATGCAGTACCGGTCGGGGGAAGGGAATGAGCCATCAGTCTCTAATGCTTAGAGTTCATTCACATGTGAAAACAACATATGTGTAAACTACAAAAGTGGAAACAATTTGTTTCATGAAATCTACTTAAAGACTCTACATGGACTGTGTTGTTTTGGCGAAATTCTAGTTTTCAAAATCCTAGACAAATTCTGATGACTGCATTTATCATTAATTTTATCAAAGCAAACAAATCCATACGGATTCCATGTTTGACTCAAGTCTCAATCCATATCCATTCATGGAGCCATGTTTACTATCTATTCATCATATATCATGAGCTTTTTAAGGGCAATTTATAATAAGCTTTCATAGTGCCATGATTAACTGCAGTCAACATTAATTGAGTATGATATGTATAAGCATTACCCATGGTGTCAACTTTGAGGGCTCTGGACTCCAACCTTGGTATGGTCCTTCATACATCTGTATTTTATCTTTTAAGAACTGAATATACTGTATAACCTGCAATTAACACCAAATCTAGAGAATAAGCTGTTTCCTGTAATTTTCAATTACATTGAAGACTTCAGATTAAACTTAAACAGAGTGTAAGTGTGTAACAATGCACCTCCAGCAAGAATGAAGCTCTGTCTCTCTTCTGATCATTCTCGGGTATGATATTCCTTAAAGTTTGGAATCTGCAAAAAAAATTACTTTAAGTGAGCTATATGCTGTTGTTGCTATTTAAGGACATATTAAATCCTGTGTAGAGATTCATCCTATGTAACTTTATACATGCCGAATCAATTGTATATACAAGGGGCATCGACCCTTTAAAAAAGACAAATATGAAAAAGAGTTCCGTCCAAGTCTCAAACTAATCTGCCATTCCGGACCATTTTTCACTCACCTTTCAATCAACAGCACTAACAGAGCCCGGTGTATTCTCACAAGGTGGGGTGACTGGGGTCTGGAGAGGGCAAGATGTGCGCAAACGTTACATCTAACCGTGAATAGGGATGGCAATTTTATCCGAATCCGACTTTTTCCGACCCGACCGATGTATATAATATCCGAATCCGACCGAAAAAATAAATATCCGAAACCGACCCGAAGATTTTAAAACCGAACCCGACTTTTGTCGGGTCGGTTTTCAGTAATTAAATATGACCGACCCGACCCGTACCCGACCGACCCGATAATTAACCCGAAATAAAAGGTCTTTTTAAAATATAAAAAAAACCTTTTTCAATTAAAAGTCTTTGGCTTACGGGAGTTACCAGTTACAGACATGAAAAATATTTGTGAAAACTTGTTATATTTATGTGTGTTGTTTGTCTTGTGAAAACTTGTTATACTTCAATGTTTTGGTTGTTATTTTGGACACATCTTTTTTAATATCTTAATTTTACGATGTCTTTGAACGTTCAAATATTTTTATGTATTGGAATTCTAATTATATCATTACATGCATTTATTATTTTATCATTATTTTAATAAAAATCATTACAAAAAATTGATTTATTAGGATATCGGTATGGTCAGTCGGTCGGGTCGGTCGGTCGGTTTTCAGGTCGGGTTAGGCTTAGGTTTTTGTCAAATTCTCTGGTTCGGTTGCGGTTTCGGGTTTCGATTTAGGCAGTCGGGTTCGGGTTCGGGTAGAAATTTATACCCGACGGTTCGGGTTCAGGCAAAAAAAAATATCCGATCAAAATTTCGGGTCGGTTTCGGGTAGGGGTATATCCGAACCGAACCCGACCCGTTGCCATCTCTAACCGTGAAGGGTAGAGAGATCGTTTTCCAATTAACCCTCGACTCAAGAAAGAATAAAATCAAAGTGGAGTTGCAAGAAGGTATGACACTGGATGAAAACATGTTGTCTATACCATTGTAATACTCTTGGCACAGTGGCAGTATGTCCTATAAAACATCATTAATCTCCATTTAGCTGGTATATTAAGGGGCTGTTTGGCAACTTCTGAATAGGTAAGTGCTGAACCAGTAAGAGGTCTGAACCATTAAGTGCTAAACCAGTAAAAGGTCTGAACCATTAAGAGCTAGTATATTGCTTAACTATTCAGAGGCAAATGTCTAATCAATTCAGATAAGATGTCTTAACCATTCAGACTCTGTATAATACTTAACCATTCAGAGGCAAATGTTTGAACCATTTAGACATCTGAACCATTAAGAGGCTGAAACAAACAGTCTGAACCATTAAGTGTTGAACCATTCAGACATCTGAACCATTAAGAGGCTGAAACAAATAGCCCCTAAAATTAGAGTGGATTATGCAACAATTTCCTCAAATGGAAATAAAACAAGAATGAACCGAGTTCAAAATGTAGCCTTTAACAAATAAGATTCCTAAATTTGAAGAGACACTGCTCTGTGGTAGAAATCCTCCATTTGATATATAGGGAAACTCATTGGCCTGATAACATCCAAACAATTGCCACACAAACAGGGGAAAAAACTAAAACTTGCCTCTCATTGATTTTGCTCCTCCTACGCTGCTCGGTCTCAGAATGCTTGGACCTAAATGCGATTGTCTTCTGCTGATCACTGTTCCTACCCTCCACTGCAACAGAAACCATCAGAAATTGAAGAAAGATAACATGAAAAGATTCAAGACGTATGTTCGAACAAGAAGGAGACGAACCCTTGTCGGAGGAATCATCGAGAGGTGTCCTGGAGGAGAATTCCAGGTCCTCGTCTTCATCCCCTTCGTGGTGGCTACTCTTCGCAGCTCTCACCATTTCTCTAATCTATCAACCAGATTCCGGAAACGAGAACAGAGTTCACTCTTCGTCCCTCAATCAACAACGATTCACGATTTGAAAGGAATAACAACTGCGCCGCAGATTCATGTGGATTCTGTGAAGATGTACGGTACTTGGTGCATTATTACAGACCTAACGCTTGTGTCTGTACTTGTGTGCCCGCCCACATGATTGATAATCGTTTGGAGATGGAGCCCTAAGCCGCCGCCGGGAACTTTTAGCATATCCACTTTCTTGGTTTGGCTGTCCAACGTGACGCCAAAGTAGTGACCCCATATGTCACACAAATAATGTTCTTTAGAAGCATGTTACAAGTATCCCAAATTTGTACTTCATTTATACATTAAAAGTATTTCGTATGTACCAATATTTTGATAGTTCATATTGACACAAAGTATTGTTACATTAACAAAAAATTACACTGACACAAAGTGTTGATGTGTTTAAAAAAATTAGCATTACACGAACACAAAACGTTGGTGTATCCCTGCGATATACAAAATGGGTAGGTTAACTTTGTAAAGGCTAACCCTAAAGCCTACCGTCAGGTCACAATATATACAGTACAACCAGTTGTACGACGTTTCTCGTACATCTGCAATTAATACTCATTTACGAATAATTGAATGTACTCATATTTTTGAGTTACTGAGTACTCACTTTCTAAATTATATTTCAGTTAATCAAAAAACGAGTATTCATGCAAATATACAAGAAGCACGTACATCTGAATGTATGATATAAATACTCATCGTCGGATAGTCTTCTTAAAATAGTAACACTAACCTCTAATGTTGATGTTAAATGACCGTCTAAATGTTTATATACATACATGCATTTCTTATTTATGTGCATGTTTATGACACATAATTTTGAAATGGACTCACTACTTAACCTACTTTGGTGTCTCTAAAAAATATTTTTACTTTCATTTTTCATCTGTCTTCGAAAATATTTTCATTTTAAATTAAAACCTCTCTTTTGTCGCTATCAATTATTAACTTACCCATCACATTATGTTTATACATTTTAAATCTACCCATCATATCATATTTTATATTATAATAAAGTAAGGACGAAAGTTAAAAATAATTTTAAAATTACAAATTCATTAAATCTTGATACCACTTTTAAAAGTGGAGAAAAAAATTATGGATGAAAATACTTGAAGTTTATTGACGGAGAATCATTTTCCAGAAGGCAAATTCTATGGTGGACTTAAGGTCCACCATGGACCAACATATGAGCAAAATAAGATTTCTTTTCCTATTTAAATAAGCATATGCTTTTTTAATAAAAGATTAAAAAAATTATGTGAGAATGTCCACAAAAATATTATACACCGAAAATGCATCAAAGACGTACTTTTTCCAGACGCCAAATCGAAGAAATATGAGTGTGATCCACGAGGGCCTCTTCAAAAGTAGTCAATGCTCATTTGAGAGAAAAATAAATATAGCTTTAGTGTCTGCTTGGATGGGGAAGATATATTTTTTCTGAAAGATTTTGATTCCATTTTCTCTTGTTTAATAATATAAATGGTAAAAAAATTTACAAGGATAATGTTTACTATCATTAAGGGAAAAAATATAATTCTTTTTATTTAAAAAAACATTACTTACTCCTTGTCTTCACCTCCACCCCAACCACTCCCGTCCCTGTCACCAACACCCTCATGCCTTAACCCTGCCCCAAACCCAACCACCACCACCACTCTACCCCCGCCATCTCATACTCTTATCTAGCACCCCCATCAACCCCCACCGTGCACCCCTACCACGCTCATCCTTATTTTACGACCTCTCATTCAATCATTCACACCCGATCCGCCTGTCCAACCCCGCCCCCAATTGATTTGCTAGCGTCATCCACCCTTATCCATTCTCCTTATACACCCGCATGTTAAATATATCAATTATTTAATATATTTAATATTATATATTATAGTTATGGTTGTTACCTATTATAGCTAGAGTTATTATTATATAATATTACCTTATATAATTAGTCATTAATGTGGAGGATTCTAGAATATATTCCTCCACCTATAGATACATACTTTGTATTCCTATTCTATTTATTCATGAAATAAAGCATTGTTTGTTATTTTACATGGTATCGGAGCCACCATTCTTGGTGACCTAAATTTCTCCACTTTCGCCTCTGGCGGGCGGCACCACCATTAATCGCCGCCTGCCGGATCACTATTTTCCTCTTACCCAAATTCTTCCATTATACAAAAAAAATCTCTGTTATAGTCACCAGCGTGTCTACTCCTCTTCTCCTAATCGTCGTAGCTCTGACCGGCGACCCCTACTCCACCAAACTACCGATCTCTCCTGGCGCCAAGATCGCACCTGTTCACTCGAGAGTAAAATGAGGCACAGGTTCACTACTTTGCCTTTGAAAGGGGTGCCCTTGGTGTCATCGGTGTTCTAGGGACTATCAAGATACTTTATCCCTCTAGAGCCTCTGATTTGGCTCATTGATCAGAAATCCTTCTCCTCCAATCACCATTCAATCCTTATTTTTTTCGATCTCTCACAACTCATATCATGACCTCAACCTGCTTCGTGGGTAGATCTTTGGTCAACATGCATCTCCGGCAGTGATTCCTTGTGTTTCTTCTCTAACACAATCGCGCACGACTTAGCGCGCGTCAACCTTCTCCCTCTTTCGACGTCAGCAGCATGAGTCCGTTCGCAACGGCTTTTCTCCTCTCCTCATCAATGCCTTCATATCTCTTTCCTGGCAATTTTTCTTCCTCTTCTAGGCCGGATGCATTCATTCTACTCTAGCCGGAGATATGCATGTAGCTTCTGATTACAATTATGGTCACGATTCAAGTAAAGTTGGCGTTCAATCTTCACCGTTCAAGACATTGGGAGCATGTTAAATATATCAATTATTTAATATATTTAATATTATAGTATATTATAATTATGGTTGTTACCTATTATAGCTAGAGTTATTATTATATAATATTACCTTATATAATTAGTCATTAATGTGGAGGATTCTAGAATATATCCCTCCACCTATAAATACATACTTTGTATTCCTATTCTATTCATTCAAGAAATAAAGCATTATTTTGTTATTTTACATGGTATCAAAGCCACCGATCTTGGTGACCTAAATTTCTCCGCTTTCGCCTCTGGCGGGCGGCACCACCATTAACCGCCGCCCGCCGGATCACTATTTTCCTCTTACCCAAATTCTTCCATTATACAAAAAAAAATCTCTGTTATAGTCACCAGCGTCTCTAACGTCATCCTCTTCTCCTAATCGCCGTAGCTCTGACCGGCGACCCCTACTCCAATAAACTACCGGTCTCTCCTGGCGCCAGGATCGCACCTGTTCACTCGAGAGTAACATGAGGCACAAGTTCACTACTTTGCCTTTGAAAGGGGTGTCCTTGGTGTTGTTGGGAAAATTATTATAGATTTTGATGATGATTTATGTAATAGGGACTTTAGGTCTCCCCCAATATTCAATGTAATTTTTCTTTTTAGAAATATTGTTAAAACCAAGTTCTTGAGTTTTCCAATAAAACTGTGATATTTCTTTAAGCGTTTTGATGCCTGAAGACTTGATCAAATTCAGTGATATGAAAATTGGATATCTTGATCGGAAGTGTCAGAAACAAGTAAGGATTTCTCAATCAGATAAAAATCCTCAGATCCGGAAAGACTACATAAGAACCGGATGTCTTGCTACAACCCGCTGAAGGCTAAGTCATTCAAATCGGAAGACTAGCGCGGATCTCCTTCTCACCCGGAAGTAAGACTCATCCAGATTTGTCAGCTAAGAATCGGAAGACTCACCAAAGACCGGAGTTCTCAGAAAGCGGACAAGTGAGAAAAAGCTTAGAAAATCATCTAAGTCCTGAATGAAGAAATTCTACCCGTGGCAAGGAAAAATTAATCTCTTGATTTTCAACGGCTAGAATGAAGATAATTAGGCTGATTCAAGAACAAATTACTCGAAGACAAAGTCTGGGTCTCTAAAATTAAAGAGCCTGCCCGGAATTCCTAAACA